TAAGGATCTACTTTCATTTTTTTGCATACGGCTATCCAGTTTTCCCAACACCATTTGTTGAAGAGACTTTCTTTTCCCCATTGTATGTTCTTGGCTCCTTTGTCAAAGATAAGCTGTCCATAGATGTGTGGGTTTACTTCTGGGCTTTCAATTCTATTCCATTGATCTGTGTGTCTGTTTTTGTGCCAGTACCATGCTGTTTTGGTTACTATAGCTTTGTAGTCTATTTTGAAATCAGGGAGTGTGATACCTCCAGCTTTGTTCTTTTTTCTCAGGATTCCTTTAGCTATTCGGGGTCTTTTGTTGTTCCATATAGAATGAGTGAATTTTATGGCATGATACATCTCAACAGATCTGTTTTAAAAATAATCCAGTAATGTGCATAATGTAACATGCACAGATCTTAAGTGTACAACTCAGTGAATTTTAACCTATGTATGCACCCACATAACCAGCACCCAGATCAATATATAAAACTTTTTTAGCATTTCAAAAAGTTCCGTTGTACACTTTCTTAATGATAATTCACCATTCCCTCCACAAGAGTAGTGACCACTACTTTGCTCTCTATCATCTTGAGTCATTTTGTCTATACTGAAACTTCAGTGTTTCTTCTGTTCAACATGTCTGTGAGATTCATCCACGTTGATGCTGACAGCAGTAGTTCATTCTTTTTTATTGCCGTGGAGTAGTTCATTGTATAAATACACTGCAATTTGTTTATAAATTTTTCTGTTAAAGAACATTTAGGTTGTTTCTAGTTTGGGGCTATTATCAAAGCTGCTATGAACATTATTTTAGATGTCTATTCGCAGACATATGCACTCATTTTTCTTGGGTACATAGCTAGAAGTAGAAATATTGATTCAAAAAGGAATCAAATCTTTAGCTTGGTAAAAACTACCATAAAATTTTCCAAAGTGCTTAAACAAATTTCCCCTCCTACTAACAATGCCTAAAAGTTGGTATTTAGCCATTGTGCTAAAATTACATTGTGTGCATTGTGTGTGGGGGTATCCTGACATGGCTTTAATTTGCATTTCCTTAATTAAGAATGATAATTTTCATATACTTACTGACCATTTGGATATCTTCTTCAGTGAAATGCCTGTTCAAGGTTTTTGTGCATTTTTTAATAGGTTATCTCTCATTTTCTTACTGCTTTATAGAAGTTCTTCATGCTGAATACAAATCTTTAATCAGATGTATGTATTACAAATATTGTTCCCCAATTTGTGGCTTGCCTTTTCTCTCTTGTAACGGTGCTTTTGGTATACAAAAGTCCATAATTTTAACGAAGTCTAATTTATCATTATTTTCTTACATACTTAGTGTGTTTTATGTCCTACTTAAGAAATCCTTGCCTATGCCAAGGTCATGAAGATATTCTCCTATGTTTTCTCCTAGAAGCTTTATTGTACTACCTTTCACAGTTGAGTCTTTGATCACTGACCAAATTAATATTTGTTTATGGAGTCACAGTTCATTTATTTTCCCATAAAGATACCCATTTGATATGGCACTGTTTCTTTACCATAGGATTGCGTGGGCATCGTGACTATAAATCAGGTGACTGCATAATACACAAGTCTGTTTCTGGACTCTGTTGTGTTCCATTGTTCCATTTTATCCCTGGGAAATGTTCTGTCTTAATCATTGAACCTTTATAGTAATCTTTAGCTAGAGAACATTTTAATGCACAATTTGTTGTAGAACTTTGTGATCTGTTCTTGTAAGAGAGACAAACGCCAAAAATTACCTATTTCAAGTCTTATATAGCATCATATATCTATTTTGAAGAAGATAAATTCCTTAATCAGTAAAATGAAAACCTGAATATTTTTCACCACATAAGGCTTACAAAATCTACATGATCTCTTATGTTAACTGCAGGAACCTGTTGAACTCCAGAATGAAAATGCCTTACCTGAGTAAGATAGATGGTATCTTTGAATGAGCGTAATGGATCTGTGCTTTGGGGGAGTTTGAAATGAAGTCCAGCCTGAAGAAGCATTTCATCGTTACCATGTGCATGATGTTGACGGTGAAGTGAAAACTTGCTTTCGTACGACCAGTCCTCTTCAGATGAAACCTTTCAAGTAAAGAATAAGAGGTACAAACTGGGAAGTTAGGAGTGAAACTACTTTTCTACACATTTCTGACAAACTTGAAAAGTACTCTACACACTAGAAAACATCTCAAGGTTTGTTCTGCGACTAATTTCACAGAATTTTTTACCATCACACTTATTGCTGAAAGCCTAGCCTCGTGCAAAGTCAATCACAAAACCAGGGTTTGGCACCTATACCCTCCCTTATTCAAACCTAGAAAGTTACATATTGATGTTTCTATTAAAAGTCTTATCTTATCAAAACACATTCCTGGTTTTTTATACATTCGTTATTTGTATTTTTAAATGTCATTTTATCTTAAAGTAAGTAAATTGTCAAAACTGTATAATGGACTGAAATCAACATTCTGTTAAAACTGTCAATTCTTCAACAGGAATAAAATATCACTATTAAGATGGTAAATGTTTTAGCACTTGCTCATAAAAGAGAAGATTGATAAGAAGGATGTCATCAAAATTAAAAATTTCTATGCTTTAAATGACACTATCAAGTAAGTAAAAAGACAACCCACAAATTGGGAGAAAATATTTGCAAATTATATATCCAGTAAAAAAATACCCAGATTATATATAAAAATAACTCTTACAACTCAATAATAAAAAGACAAATAACTCAATTAAAAAATGGGCAAAGGATTTGAATAGACATTTCTCCAAAGAAGAAATACAAGTGACCAACAAGCACATGAAAAGATGCTCAACATGATTAGCCATCAAAGAAATGCAAATTTCCTGTAAATGTAAATTTCCGGGGAAACGTGAAAAAAAAAAAAGGGAAATAACAAGTGTTGTTGGTGAGGATGTGGAGAAATTGCAACCCTCATACATTGCTGGTGGGAATATAAAATGGTGCGGCCACTATGGAAAACGGTCTGCCAGTTCCTCAGAATGTTAAACATAGAGTCACCATAAGACCCAGCAATCCCACTCCTAGGTATATACTTAGTTCTATATACTTAATAGAAAACATACGTTCACACAAAAATATGTATACAAATGTTCATAGCAGCATTATTCATAATAGCCAAAAAGTGGGAATAACACGAATGTACATCAACTGATGAATAGATAAACAGAAGTGGTAAAGCCATACAATGGAATATTATTCAGCAATAGAAAAGAATGACATACTAATACATGATGCAACATGAAGGAACCTTGAAAACTTTATGCTGAATGAAAGAAGCCAGTCTCAAAAGATCACATATTTTATGATTCCAATTATATGAAATCTGCAGAAGAGGCAAATACATCAACACACAAAGCAGATTAGTAGTGCCTAGAGCTGGGGTGGGAGGGATAGACAGAGTGGGGAGTGACTGCTAATGGGTACAGAGTTTCCTTGGGGTGATGAAAATGTTCTTAGATCATGGTGATGGCTACACGAATCTGTGAATACACTGACTGTACACACTAAATGGATGCAATATATATGGTCAGTGAAGTGTATCTCAATAAAGCTGTTATAAAAAGCACACATAAAACTCTGAAACTGAATCCATCTATGAAACTGAATCCTTAGGAACAAAGAAAGTGAAACGCCATACTGAAAATCAAATACACCAACATGAAGAAGGAAGAGGAAGAGGAGAAGGAAAGGGAGGGGCAGGAGGAGAAAAAACAAAAGAAATGATATGAGATGATAACATTAGACAAAGGTTTACTTATCACATCCATTTCTCTTACTATAGCAAACTATCCAGTTCTGAATATCTGTAAATGATAAAGCAGTTGTAAGATACACAGAAAGTAGCAGGTGCAAGTTATTTTCACGTGTGACAAGAAGTCAGGCTTAAGCAACCACTGGCTCCCATTTAATTTTTAAATGCTCCTGAAGGAACATAATTAGAAGCAATATATGGGGCCGGCCCTGTGGCATAGCGGTTAAGTGCACGCGCTCCATTGCTGGTGGCTGGGGTTTGGATCCCGGGCGCGCACTGACGCACCGCTTGGCAGGCCATGCTGTGGCGGCGTCCTATATAAAGTGGAGGAAGATGGGCACGGATGTTAGCCCAGGGCCAGTCTTCCTCAGCAAAAAGAGGAGGATTGGTATGGATGTTAGCTCAAGGCTGATCTTCCTCACAAAAAAAGAAAAAAGAATCAATATAAAAAAGTTATAATCCCCAAAAGGATGACTACAAGGTTAGCTCCCCAAAGGTTAAAGAAAAAAAAGTTCTCTTCTATCACCTTCTTTGTAAACTTTCATTTAAATAAGTAGATTTCATTTGGCTTTCTGAACCACTGTTTAGGAAGTGACAAAACGCCCAGAGCCTACCATTCTGAATCATTGGGAAATCAAAGATGGCTTACCTTTTCTAATGTACTGAAGGAAGGCCAGGACTGATATCCATATTCAGAGGCAAATCGAGCTTTTGGGAAAATTTTCCAATTCCAGCAATCACTGACATAGTCGTAAAAATGTATGTCACCAAAATGCTTGTCATATGGGTTGTGAGAGACCCAGCCTTCTGCAACGGATTCGGCCCCATTTGTAGGACTGGATGTGACAAAAGGACGAGTCTTATCTCCCTGAGTTCAGAGATAAAATGGTTTAAAGGAAAATATTTTCACCCAGTAAAGTACAGATCACTTACTTCTTTAAAAATACTATGAAGTCTCAGAAATGCCAAGTAGCTGACAGAAAAATAACAGAAGCATTTACCTTCTTCCGCACTCAGCCACCACCAGTGCCTTCCTACTATTCACCAATTGTTTATAGCCTTTCATAATTAACACTTAGCTTATTCCTGACAGCAGCTGTTCCTCATTTTCTTCCATCATGTCTTTACCATCATGGGTAGTGCACAGTCTAGTGCAGAATTTCTCAACCTTGGAACTATTGACATTTGGGACCTGAAAATTTTTTGCTTTGTGTGTATAGGTTGGCTGTGTGTGTGTGTGTGCGGGGGGGGGGGGGGGGTCCTATGCATTTTAGGATGTTTAGCAGCATCCCTGGCCTCTACCCACTAGATGTCAGTGTGACTCCCCCCCAAAAAAAGTGTCTACAGACATTGCCAAATGTGCCCTTGTCCCTTGGGGACAAAATCACCTCCACTTGAGAAACACAGGTCTAGTGGTTAAGAATAGAGGCTACTGAGTCAGATGGACCAGAGTTTAAATCCCAAATCAGAAATTACTGGTTTTGGACAGGTCTAAGCCTCAGTAGTCTTATCTAAAAAGTAGGGATCGTAACAGTACCTCCTTCATAGGGCTAGTGTAAATGGTAAATAACTTGTGTGGAAGAGAAGACTAAGAGTCCACCAAAATTCATGTTTCCATTTCCACAACACAGAGCTGTCCCTAGCAAGTGGCTTCCTAACGTCGCTGCATCTCTGTGGGGCCACGTGCCTCATTCTCATCCTCTTCCCCCACTTGCAGGCGAGGGCCTAGGAGATGGTGGAGCTGGATGATGAAAGAAGCCCAGGTCTCTGAGAGGAGGAGAGCTGCCTGTCCATCAGGAGCAGCCATTTTACAGTGTTAGTGAGTGAGAAAGAAACTTGTATTATGGAAATCACTGAAACGGTGGTTTGTTACTGCAGCTAGCATCTAAGTATTTAATGTAGTGCCTACTCAAAATGTTTTAGTTATCATCATCTCAATAAATGAACTCACTGCCTATTTCACTGAGAAAAATCATCGTTTAGCAAGTATTTGCCAAGTGTTTTTTGTGTGTCAGGTGTTTTTCAGCACTGCAGAGAGAGAGAGAAAATCTATGACGTCATCAGGTATTAACACATCAAATCTCTTCTGAGCGTTTCCTATGTGCCAGGCATGCAGCTCTTTCCATGTACTGGAGGTTCAGCAGAACAATACGGACGTGCTGACCGGCTCTTTAAAGAGCAGACTGAGGGCCGGCCCCGCGGCTTAGCGGTTAAGTGCGCGTGCTCCGCTGCTGGCGGCCCGGGTTCGGATCCCGGGCGCGCACCAATGCGCCGCTTCTCCGGCCATGCTGAGGCCACGTCCCACATACAGCAACTAGAAGGATGTGCAGCTATGATATACAACTATCTACTGGGGCTTTGGGGGGAAAAATAAATAAATAAAATTAAAGAGCAGACTGAGATCTGGGGTGAAACCAGATGCTGAACAGGTCACTGTAAGTGTGATCAATGTTTGAAGGAGAAGCACAAGGCTCTCTGGAATATACAACATACTTCAGAAGGCCAGTAAAGCCTCCCAAGAAACAAGACTGTCAGAAAATAATTTTCTCAGCTTTTCTCCTTTAGGTCTCACTTTTTCTTGATATATCCATCCATTTTTTTCTTGTTTCTCTTCTGTCACAGAAAAAAAAAAATCCTTACTCCTTTCCTTTGCCAGCCTCTCTGTCTTCTGGTCTCTTTTTATTTCACTTTGGAACTATAGCCAATAAATTATCTGCCACTCTTTTAAAAAAATCTCTCTCACTGCCCTTTTCCTTCAGCTTAAGGACTCCCCTCATCGTAATAAAAATTTCCCTTGATTCCTGGCCATCCATCAGATTCTCAGTCTCTGACATTCAGCTCTTGAACTTTCCACTCCACTGAAATTGTTTCTGTTTTTCGAAAACTACCCATAGACTTCTACTTACCAAATAAAGCAAAAGTCCCCACACCCTCCCTTCTCTGGTGCAGTATGTGACCTGTTTCCACCCATTATTTCTGAAGGTCTCTCTAGCCTTGGCTGCTCGTCCACTACTCTTTCATGTTCTGGTTTCCCCAAACCTTTCTCATCCTCCTTTTCCAGCTCCCCTCTCCATTCTCAGAGGGACACTGCTCTCTCATCAGCCTCCCCTTGTTCTACACCCTCTCCCAAGGCTTCCCCTCTCACCGACATTCTGATTACTCCCAGACTACTTTACCTCCACACTTCTATTCCCAATAACCAGCTCCACATTTCCACCTGGCTTGTCCTACCAACATCTGAAATCCAGCCTTTCAAAGCAGAATTCTGTATTTACTAATCTCAAACTTATCTGACTGTGCCTCCTACCTTGATTAACGCTACACAAGTAGGAGTCATCTTCAATTTCTCCTTCTCTCTCTCTTAACTCCCACATTCAGTATGAATTCAAATATTTTTTTTCATCTTCTTCTTCTCAGCCCCACTCCATTGGATTCCACTACCTATGACCCGTATGACCTTGAGTAATTAATCTTTCTAACCCTCCAATGTCTCATCTCTAAAACAAAGATTATATTACTTACATTCCAGGGTAGCTGTAAAATTTAAAGAAATAAATTCTATAAAGAACCTATATCATTAATATGTTAGTATATTATAATAATCATATTAATTAATATAATAATCATAATTAACAAACCAGTGTCTGGTATATATAATATTCTCAATAACTTGCAATTCTTGGTTATTATAACTGGTTTCCTTGCCTAGAATCTCTCACCTCTCCAATTCTTTGCTAGCAAAGGCACTTTCCCAAACTTGGGTCAGATAAAGTCCCTCCCCTCCCCCAAAATGTCCACTAGCTTCCCACTGCCTACTTAACAAAGCCCAACTCCATAACATGATTCACAGTCCTTGTAAGATTTGTTTCCAAATCGCCTTTTCTATCTTTGATTCTCCCTCCCCAGTCCAGCAGTCCTTTGCTTCAGGCACTGGGTGCTGCCTGCTGCTTCCTAGACATACACATCTTTTTACCTTTACCCACATTGTTTTCATGGCCTAAAATACCTACTGAACAATCCTTTGCCTCAAATTCTACTACAGCTTTAAGGCCTGGTTTGAATGCCACCTTTTACTTGAAAGCCTTCACAGATCCTTCCAGTTAAAATTAATGGTTCTTCCACACAGTTACCAACGTTTTGGAACTACATTTTTCATAGCACTTCTTTCAGTCTGCCCTGTAGAACCGGTAATTCTTTCCACATTTCCCCTGAGAGCAGAACGTAAGCTCCATGAGGACAACTGTTTCCACACAGCCTTGGGAATGAGGCTTTGCTCCTGCTAAGAGGTACTCAGCAGATGCTGGCTGAATTTTTTTTTTATGGTGAGGAAGATTAGCCCTGAGCTAACATCTGTTGCCAATCCTCCTCTTTTTGCTGAGGAAGATTGGCCCTGGGCTAACATCCGTGCCCATCTTCCTCCACTTTATATGTGGGACGCCGCCACAGCATGGCTTGATAAGCAGTGCGTAGGTCTGCGCCCAGGATATGAACCTGCAAACCCAAGGCTGCCAAAGCGGATCATGTAAACTTAACCATTACGCCACTGAGCCAGCCCTGTTGGTTGAATTTTAAAACATTAAAAAGCATGGTAAGATTATAGATAGTCTTAAATTTTAAACTACATTCTGTTTTAATGGCTTTGAAGTAATACTGGAGAAGGCTGATCAATCGTCTTAATCGATCAAGCTAGATTGATTTCCCTCCATTCTCCAAATCCTTGAAGAATTTAGTTAGCTGAGCCAGACTCATTAGTAATTTGAGTCTCTGCCTGAAAATATCCAACCCTGATGAAGCACGACAATTCTTTCCATTTTTGTATCATTTCCTCTTGAGGCCTGAGTTTTAGTCTCAAATCTCACAGATGACCACTTTCTAGGTCATGACTTAAATGCTTATTTGGACCAAGAGACCATAAGATGAACCAAGAGAATGACTATTTTAAAAAAGAATGACGTGCAAGAGGAAACTAATCATTACGATTAGTGTGTGGATGGATCAATTTATGGTCCTTTTCTTTAAATGCCTTATGCTTGGATAGAATTAACAACATTAATGATTATATAGCACTTAATCCTGTCCATCTTCAAAGAAATTGGCAAACATCAATTATTTCTCACAAAATCATTTTTAAAAATACATAGATCCCTTGTGAGAAAGGCATCATATTTCCATTTCAAAGATGGAGAAGAAGCGGCACATAGAAGCTAATTTTTTAGCAAGTGCAAGAATGTAGTGTTAAAATTAGAGATTAAAGTTTGCAGGTTTCTGAAGACCTATCTTGTTGACTAAAAACAATGATAATGATAACTAGCACTGATTAAAAGTCCACTATGTGCCCGAGTCTGCGTAACACACCTTCCATCCATTATCTCACTAATCCACATGACAACTCTTAAGAGTTAGTGCCTATTGTTGACTCAGTTTTATAGATGGGAAAACAGAGATTAAGTAACTTGCCCAAGATTACATAGAGAGTAGGTGGTCCAGCCAGGATTTGGAGTCATGAGCTCTTAACCACTAAGCTATGAAATGAAAATCCTCAGATATTAAAATCCATTTCTTAAATCCATCAGATATGAAAAACATAATACCAATGCTGTGTGTAAAAAGATTATAAAATAAATGTTCTCTATTAATTAAAGCTTATGGCATCACGTTTCGTGAATAGAAAAATTTTTCATGACTCATGCCTTAGCATATCAGATAAGCTAAAAATATGAACCTATGTTATTCACGAATCTTCACTGACATTTCATCACATAAATGGAATAGTGCCATAAACTGGGCATATTTGAGGGCCAAAATCACACAGTATTCTTTTAAATATATCCCTTTTCAAATTGCTTGAGGATACACTAAAACATTTAA